CAGACTCGACTACCACTAGTACTTTCTGACCTCCTGACTGCAATTTCAACAATTTTCCTGGATTTCGTGCTCATGCACCAACTCCCAGCTACAGTTTTCAAAGTGCTCCTGGATTGCGTTTTCTTGCAACAATTCTCAACTTTGTGAAATCGTCTATCTCCGTGGATTAACGAAGAACATCGCGTTCTTCAACTATTGAAACTCCAGTCACATTCCCTTAATCTTCAGACCCCTAACAGATATGAAGGAAGCAGTAGTTTGATATTTGGATTGTGAGTTTGATGTTTTCACCGCCAATAACCAATAAAAGAACGAAGGTTGAACGCAAATTTATGAAGAAAATATGTTTTCCACAATGTTCAACCTTAGAAAACGCGTTTAGAGGCATTCAGGTATTTATATGTAGGTCAAGGTATGAAACCAGATAAAAAGCCTTAAGAAAACGAATTAAGAAATTCCCGAATAACCCTATCGCTCGAGCAAGAGTTGGGCGACAGGCAAGCGACACTGTATCACTCGAACAAAGGCCCCGGCGACAGGCTAGCGACAGTGTAACTGTTTCTAACGCTCGATCCAAGTCCTGGGGACAGTCTAGTGAAATTGCGGCATCGTTTTTCCTTCTTTTCCATTATCGAACCCTAGACATAAAATAACACATTTTTTACTATTTACACATTACTCATTGACTTTTACAACATATTAATTTTAGTCCATTTTATTTATGGACTTGTCAATTACATCAATTACCCAACAAAAGGAATTAAAAGAAAAAAAATTACTGACATATTTACCATAAAATTTGCATCAAATTTATCTAATACATTATTAAGATAACAAAACAATGAAATTTGCAATCAGAAAGAAAATAAAAGTGAGATGACATTTTAAAGTGAATAAAGCGATGACAGCCAAGAGAGACGGAAAGAGAGAAGAAAAATGTGAAAAAATAAAAATAAAAAAAGTAAAGTATGCATTGTTGTGCATTCTTGAGAGGTTGAGACAGTTAAAAAGTTTGTACTTTGAAACTTTAAATTGAAAATAATTCTTGGTGTACATAGAAATTGGTATATAGGGTCGGGTGTCAACACCCTCGCATGGTATTTCTACTTTAATTGATTCCTCACAAGAGTTAGTTTCATGTTTTTCCATTTACTAGCGGGTTGGTATTTGTTTTATGTTGTGAACATATTTTTTCAATAATACCTACAAAAGATAATTGAGATGATTTAGGGTATAATAGATTTTAGTAAAAGTTGATGAAGTAAGTGTTTGAAAAGTAGATAAAAAATGTAATTCTCATGAAAAATGAGTTTAAAATTGATTCACAAACTTTTTAAACTTTCCTAACAAGCACTTTATATAAAGTTTCTTATGAACGAAGTGAAAAAAAGCTAGAATTTAATATAGATATGTTTTTAATTTAGTATGCTCGATTCACTTGGACTACTATAATATATTCGGGTTCTAAATTAATATTTTAACACTTGGCAATTCATAAGAACACATCGTCAGAATTTTCTACAAGGGAATGTGATTCAAATTCACCAACATATTTATTGACGCAACAAGATTTTAAGTCACAAAGACTCCTTAATAGCTTCAGAAGCAGCTAGATATTCAATTTATGTAGTAGATAAGACCACAATAGACTGTAATTGAGACTTCCAACTTATGCAAGTACCACACAAAGTAAACATATATGCGGTTATTGATTTCCTATTATTATTATTACTAGTATAATCAGAATCCATATATCCATTTAACACAAGTCCTTCTTTACAAAATTTAAAATGCAAACATAAATCAGCAGAACCTTTTAAGTATCTTAAAAATCATTTTAAAGCATTCAATGTTCAGGACCCGAGTTTGCCATAAACCTACTCAAAATGCTAATAGCATGTGCAATATACATAACATATTCAACAGTATTAGCATAAGGTACTTTTTGCATGTATTTGATATCAGATTCATCATGTGGACATTGTTCTTTACTCGACTTAAAATGATAAGTAAGAGACAAAGAAACGGATTTGGAATCATGCATAGCAAATTTGGATAATAAATTTTTCACATAATTAGATTGTGTTAAAAGAAGATATTGTTGTAATCTATTTCTTTTAATATCCATTCCTAAGATTCTTATAGTAGATTTTAATAAAAGTTAAAAAAAAGTAAGTGTTTGAAAAGTAGATAAAAGTTGTAATTCTCGTGAAAAATGTGTTGAATTTGGCCTCGAACTTTTTAAACTTTACTAACAAGCACTTTTTATAAAGTTTCTTATGGAGTGAACAAAAGTCAGCATTTAATATAGATTTGTTTTTAATTTACTATTCTCGATTAATATATTCGGGTTCTAAATTAATATTTTAAACACTTGGCAATTCATAAGAATACATCCCCAGAATTTTCTACGAGGGAATGTGATTCAGATTCACCAACATATTTATTGAATATTGTGAAGGCAGCATTTCGGTGAAATCTATCAAATCTAGAATTTGATGCCAAAGCAAGAAAAGAAGGAGGGGAGAAAATATACAGAGTTGACTAGAATTGACTCGCGACCCAAAAGGCAAAATAAACAGAGACTAGTTTTCTCACGCAGAGGTGTGGAGGTTGCATGGGAATTAATAGGATGATTTCTGCACTTGTTTGTAGTTGAGTATATTTTAATGGAGTTGGTAATTATCAGCAGAAAATTTCTTGCTAGGAATTGATACTAACATGGGGTGGGCCCATGTGAATTAAATATTGTCAAAAAAATGGGGCCCACCCCATGTGTGTATTCTGTATGGTTTCTTCTTTTATTTTTTTTCCTCTAAAAATAAAGTTAGTTGTACAACATTTGTTCACAACCCAGTTGTCAATTAGTGTATTGGAACAATCGTTGCCATTGATTTCAAAAACATGTCAGTATCAGCTACATACTATGTTTCAGTAGAAGATAAGGCAACAATAGACTGCTATTGAGTCTTCCTACTTATGCAAGTACCTCTCATTGTAAACACATATGCAGTTGTTGATTTTCTATTATCCTTATTACTAGCATAATCAAAATTCACATATCCTCTTAACACAACTCTCTCTTTACAAAATTTAAAATGTAAACCTAAATTTGCAGAACATTTTAAGTAACTTCAAGGCCATTTTAAAGCGGTCCAATGTTCAAGACCCGAGTTTGCCATAAACCTACTCAAAATGCTAATAGCACGTGCAACATCAGGTCTAGAACATACCACAACATACATAACAGATCCAACAGCATTAGCATAAGGCACTTTTTGCATGTATTTGATATTAGATTCATCATGAGGAAATTGTTCTTTACTCAACTTAAAATGACAAGCAAGAGACAAAGAAACGGATTTGGAATCATGAATAGCAAATTTGGATAATAAATTTTTCACATAATTAGATTATGTTAAAAGAAGATATTGTTGTAATCTATTTCTTTTAATATCCATTCCTAGGATTCTTATAGTAGATTTTAATAAAAGTTGAAAAAATAAGTGTTTGAAAAGTAGATAAAAGTTGTAATTCTCGTGAAAAATGTGTTGAATTTGGCCTCGAACTTTTTAAACTTTACTAACAAGCACTTTTTATAAAGTTTCTTATGGACGAAGTGAGAAAAAGTCAGCATTTAATATAGATTTGTTTTTAATTTACTATTCTCGATTAATATATTCGGGTTCTAAATTAATATTTTAAACACTTGGCAATTCATAAGAATACATCCTCAGAATTTTCTACGAGGGAATGTGATTCAGATTCACCAACATATTTATTGAATATTGTGAAGGCTGCATTTCGGTGAAATCTATCAAATCTAGAATTTGATGCCAAAGCAAGAAAAGGAGGAGGGGAGAAAATATACAGAGTTGACTAGTATTGACTCGCGACCCAAAAGGCAAAATAAACAGAGACTAGTTTTCTCACGCAGAGGTGTGGAGGTTGCATGGGAATTAATAGGATGATTTCTGCACTTGTTTGTAGTAGAGTATATTTTAATGGAGTTGGTAATTATCAGCAGAAAATTTCTTGCTAGGAATTGATACTAACATGGGGTGGGCCCCATGTGAATTAAATATTGTCAAAAAAATGGGGCCCACCCCATGTGTGTATTCTGTATGGTTTCTGTTTTTTTTTTTTTTTTCCTCTAAAAATAACGTTAGTTGTACAACATTTGTTCACAACCCAGTTGTCAATTAGTGTATTGGAACGATCGTTGCCATTGATTTCAAAAACAGTTTTTCGAATGAATGAATATAGTGTTTGCAAACTCATATGTTGTAAATCAAATTGTAAACAAAATTGTACAGTAGCGAGATTGAGTAAGAGCCTGTTTGAACTGTATTTTTTTTCTTAAAAATGCATTTTAGAATAGTAGATTAAAAGAGAATATGTGGTTGAAAAATAAGGAAATTTTTTAAATTTACGTGTAATATTATTTTATTAAATAATGTGCGATTAAAAAAAAGAAAAAAGAGTATTATAAAAATAATGGGATCAAACAAGAACTAGTTATACGCAATAATCGATTTAATATCCACATCAATTTTTGTCTCGGGCTGGGACGAAGGTTTCCGCTGTAACCAAAATTGGTCAAAACTTCTTTGCTAAGCAATTGAGTACACAACACGTCAACAACGTGTCCAAAGATCTACCAAAAACGAAAATTAAGTTTTCCAATACGATTATCTTTCTTTCCAAGGTAGTATAATTACCTTATTTTGCAATAATTGAATTTACACGATTACTCCAGAATTCGCCTATAGGGTCCACTAAAGTGTTGAGCAGTTTCTTGGAAGTTTCTTGGAAATTTCCCATTGATCATTTCGACGTACAGAACCATCCTGACATAGAGCATATATACGTTCATGTCCAACACCAAGACAAGCAGTAACATAGTGACATTGCATGCAAAATTATAAGTTCTATTTGTGCACTTTTATTTGCAATTATTTGTTTTCGATTTTACTCAGTTTTAGTGTATTACTATAATCATGTCAGAAAATTTTCAAGAAATCTTGCATTGCACGGATCTTGTTTTCAATCCAAACGGCCTTGTTATTAGCTTGCTGCATAAAAAGCGATGGCGTTTAGCCTTAGCAAAAATCAATTGTTCAAGGGCCTTGCTTTCTCTCTTCAGTGAAGTTCTTGCGAAGCACAAGAAGATTTATATCTTGCCATCATCTGCTACTTTTCTCAACAATATTGATGATCAACCATGCGAAGATACGGGTATTTTCTTCGTGGTTAATCAGACAATCCTCTCTGAGGTTGTCAAGGAGAAAAATCACCAAGAGCTTTTTAAACTTGGAGGAGCTAAAGGTATAGCTGCTTCTCTCAAAACCGATGTCAACCGTGGAATTGATGGAGCACTTGAAGACATTTTTGGCAGACAGGAGGAGTTTGGGACTAATGCTTACAGTAAGCCACCTCCAAAGGGTTTCTTCCATTTTGTTTTGGAAGCTTTTAAGGACCCAACAATTATTATTCTATTGGTCTGCGCTGCGCTTTCTCTTGGTTTCGGGATCAAAGAGAATGGTCCGAAAGAAGGTTGGTATGATGGTGGAAGCATATTTGTTGCTGTATTTCTTGTTATTTCTGTCTCAGCTATCAGCGACTTCAGACAAAGCAGACAATTCGACAAGCTTTCCAAGTTGAGCAATAATATTCAGATCGAAGTTGTGAGAAATGGAAGAAGACAACAAATATCGATATACGACATCGTTGTTGGAGACATTGTTTGTCTGAAGATTGGCGATCAAGTACCTGCAGACGGATTATTTCTAGACGGGCACTCTTTGCAAGTGGACGAATCTAGCATGACAGGAGAAAGTGATCATGTTGAAATCAATCAATATCCAAATCCCTTCTTGTTTTCTGGCACAAAGGTTACCGATGGATATGCTAGAATGCTTATTACATCTGTAGGAATGAACACAACTTGGGGAGAAATGATGAGCACAATTAGCGAGGAGTCAAACGAGCAAACGCCTCTTCAAGCTCGACTAAACAAGCTAACTTCATCAATAGGTAAGGTTGGTTTAGCAGTAGCTTTTCTAGTACTTCTCGTGCTACTGGTTCGATTCTTTACAGGAAACACAACAGACGAAAATGGGAATAAAGAGTTCAATGGATTTGGTAAGACTAAGGTTGATGATGTGATAAATGGAGTCCTGGAAATTATTGCAGCTGCAGTAACTATTGTAGTTGTTGCAATTCCAGAAGGATTGCCTTTGGCAGTCACACTCACTCTTGCTTATTCGATGAAAAGAATGATGGCCGATCAGGCTATGGTTCGAAGGCTCTCTGCTTGTGAGACAATGGGATCAGCCACTACAATATGTACCGACAAAACAGGTACTCTTACATTAAATCAGATGAAGGTAACTAAGTTTTGGTTGGGGGAAGAAACTGTCGAAGGGAAAAGTTGCGTTTCAATTGCAGCCAATGTTCTTGAATTGCTGCATCAAGGGGTCGGTCTTAATACGACAGGGAGTGTTTATCGATCCTGTGCATCAGGATTTGAGTTCTACGGTAGCCCCACTGAAAAGGCTATTCTTTCATGGGCTGTGCTGGAATTGAATATGGATATCGAGAAGGTCAAGGGGAATTGTAGCGTTCTGCACGTGGAAGCATTCAATTCGGAGAAAAAGAGAAGTGGCATTTCAATGAAGAAGGTTGAAGATGACACGGTTCACGCACACTGGAAAGGAGCTGCTGAAATGGTACTAAAAATGTGCTCTCATTACTATGATTTGGAAGGAAATGTGAATTCTCTCAACGATTTCAACAGGATGAAATTTGAACGAATAATACAAGGTATGGCTGCGAGTAGTCTTCGCTGCATTGCATTTGCGCACACGCAGGTTTTAAAGGCAGGTCATGTCAATCCGAATGGGCAGCAAAAGATTCAAGATAATGGATTAACCCTTTTGGGCCTCATCGGCCTAAAAGATCCATGTCGACCCGGTGTGAAGACAGCTGTGGAAGATTGTCAATATGCAGGGGTGAATGTGAAAATGATAACTGGTGATAATGTTTTCACTGCAAGAGCAATAGCCACCGAATGCGGAATACTCAAGATGACTGAGGAAATTGATGATGGATCGGTGGTGGAAGGAGTTGAATTTCGCAACTATACAGAAGAGGAACGGATGGAAAAAGTTGATAAAATCTGCGTGATGGCGAGATCATCTCCTTCCGACAAACTTCTAATGGTAAAATGCCTGAAAAAGAAAGGTCACGTTGTGGCAGTAACTGGTGATGGCACAAATGATGCTCCTGCATTAAAGGAAGCAGATATCGGCCTTTCAATGGGAATTCAGGGTACGGAAGTGGCGAAAGAAAGTTCAGATATTGTCATTTTGGACGACAATTTTTCTTCCCTTGCCACTGTTTTAAAATGGGGAAGATGTGTTTACAACAACATACAGAAATTCATCCAATTTCAACTCACTGTGAATGTAGCAGCACTTACAATCAACTTCGTAGCAGCAGTTTCTGCTGGTGAAGTGGGTGAATCTGATAATGGACACACTGGGGGCTCTAGCTCTTGCTACAGAAAAACCAACCATGGAGCTCATGGAAAAGCCGCCTGTGGGCCGAACAGAGCCACTTATCACCAATGTTATGTGGAGGAACTTATTAGTACAGAGAAACCTACCATGGAGCTCATGGGAAAGCCACCCGTGGGCCGGACCGAGCCTCTTATCACCAATGTTATGTGGAGGAACTTATTAGCTCAAGCATTGTACCAAATTACTATTCTTTTGACATTACAGTTCAAGGGTGAATCGATCTTCGGTGTTAGCGAAAAGGTTAAGGACACGTTGATTTTCAACACATTCGTACTCTGTCAAGTGTTTAACGAATTCAACGCGAGGAAGCTTGAGAAGAAGAATGTATTTGAAGGAGTACACAGGAATAAGCTGTTTCTTGGGATCATTGGAATTACTATAATTCTTCAAATAGTGATGGTGGAATTTCTCAACAAGTTTGCAGATACAGAGAGGTTGAATTGGAATCAATGGGGGTTTTGTATAGGAATTGCAGCTGCATCTTGGCCTATTGGTTGGCTCTTCAAGTGTATTCCAGTACCAGAAAAACCAATATTTAGTTATGGCTATTGGAAGAAGTTAAGATGCATATAAACTACTCGGTACTGTAATGTTTTATAATTAGTTTTCAAGTAGAATAAATTTCTCATTTGTAATATATTTCGGATGAAGGAACAATAGAATGTTTCTTGGTTTTTATATTATCCACTTGTGCTATTTCTGCAATTTGATTTACATTAAGAATTTAGCACTTTCCAAAGAAAGATCAAAATTTATAAAGTCAAAATCTGGTTGTCCCAAGCAAACCAAGGTCAAAGTTTTTGGCACACAGACACCATATATTCCTACTTCCTTAGTACAACATTCTAAGAGGACAAACGAGTGTTCAAGAAAAAAGCTAATCACGTGAAGGGAACCAAACAAGTGCTCGACAAAAAAGTTGGATCAACGCAACATATTAGCCAAATATTTTCTATGAGTAATTTTGTCAAACATCGTAGGCGCACAAATGAAATTGCTTTTGTGGGATTAAAAAAGGAAATCCTGCGTTACCATGGATTTTCCGCTGTCGTGCAAAACAATCTTATAATAGATGAGAAACTGCTTCGTGAACGACACCAATTTGACAGGAATTGTATTGAATTTGAGGAGCACTGCATGTTAATTTCTGTCTTGTTTCTAATTCTTAGTATGCTGAAGAAGAAAAAGGTTGATTCTTGGCGATTCTCAATACAACAGCATCAAGAAGTTGACATTCAGAAACGCTTCGTGTAATTGGAAAGTAGTCAAATTTTTCATTGCTTGATTGTCAATGTAGTGTGGCCAACACTGCAACGTCCCGAATTCTAATAACCCAGCGCGTTCTTTAACAATAATCTCGAAGACAACGTTTGAAGCACAAAATTATTTTTTGAATAAGGTGGTCTGTATTTCCCTAATTTGACTGTCACAGTTTAATAAAATTGCTATAATAAATTCTACGAGACTCCGATTGACCTATTTCCAGTTGCATATGATAGATAACTCACAATGGATCATTTTTCAATTAATAACATGCTAAAATTATAAATATACCGACTATAGCAAAACTTTAAAATAGTGGTAGAATTCAAGAATTTACTAAACCGCATGTTCAAAGATTAAAACTTTATGTCCCAAAACATGAATTTTAAACTACAAATCTCTGGGACACCACAATGATTATTAAACATAAAAGTAACAATCTAACACTTAATAATTAAATTTCTCAAAAAAAAAAAAACACATGCCGAGCCACCGCTAAATCTCCAAGTACTCTGAAAAGGATAAATAGGAGTAAGTATCTCAAAGAAATACTGATCAATAGGCTGCACATGCTATATGAACATATAATCATTTAATTATGCATCCTTATATATTGCCTTCGTAAACATGCAAATCGGTGATCAAATGGTCTACTTTTAAGTTCCGATGAGCCTCTGCGACCATCAATTTAACATATATACTTATGGTTTTGATGAGCTTTTGCGACCATCAGTTAAACATGTAATCTTTCTTTCATCAACATTTAAGAGAAACCGTTAAAAGCCCTTTATATACTACATGAGCAAATAACGAAAAACATGCTTGAATGAAAATTTAATTCATATAACAACTTTGCATAAGGATCCTACCTTAGTTGTAATGATAAGATAGTGTCTACATCGAACGAAACTCGTCTCCAAATCTTAAACGTAAAAATGCTTTCTTTGATGGGTCTGTCGTGTGTGCATGTATATGTACCTAAAATGTCTTGTAACTTAATGTCAGTTGGAATTCATATGTAAAAAGGAGTCTAAAACCATTTGTAAAGATTGGATGGAATTTGATTTCAAATAATAGCACTCGGGATATGTATTAATTAGATTAGTTTTTTTTTTTGTCAAGAAGTGAAACAAAGTACACGAAATCCTAGCTAAAATGATGAAATTAGTTAAGTTGGATTATAGGGAATATAAATGGATAATCTATAAAACTAATTCACATTATCCTCCATTCAAATAAATATATCAAAATGTCAAATTCAAATTATGATACACGGCCAAAATTTTAATTATTTGATTAACCTTAATTAAAATAGGAGTCTCTTTATACTACAATAACTTAGGTCTAACTTATCCGAAATAACTTTTTCTAAAGTACAAAATTCATCATGCAATATGAGTTTCGAAACAATCCCAATATCGATATGAAATTTCTCGCTAGATGAATACTTTAATTACTTGGCAGAAAGCTAAAATTTTGACATTAAACTTAATTTTAAATTAGTCCCTCGGTATTTCAAATTAACAAAACATGTCAAGATGAAATAGATGCAAATTTATTTTCGATTGTTACAAACACTGTGGGTCAGTCTAGCCCTGTCTGGTTGCATCCAGATCCTGTTTGAGGACGTTATGAGTCTCAACTCATTCATCTAAATGTTTGGCACGAAAGATGTCAATATTATGTGGAGCGATCTAGACCAATAGCTTGTATTTAGGTTTGATCCATGCCCATTATGAACTTAAATTTGTCTTTCTGAAATACGGTTCAAATTATCTTCTAAATCTATAGAACACTCCAATTGACGAATACCTAAATATTGCGAGCTCGTCTAGACTGATCCAATTCTTGTCGTATATAGAGTCATTAGGATTATTCAACTTAAATTTGTCTTTTCTAAAATATGGTCTGAATTATCTTCTAAATCTATAGAATACTCTAATTGACGAATACGTCAATATTGCGAGGTCGTCTGGACTGATCCAATTCTACTAGTATATAGAGTCATTAGGATTATTCCAACTAGATTGGTATTTAGCCCTGTTGAAAAGCGATCATCCCAACAAATTTATGGAACAATTTAGTAGACGAACCCATCAATTTTGCCTCATCTAGGCTAATCTAGCCATACCTGTCGTATAGTCTTTAGATCATCCTAACTAGGTTGGTATTTAACAGTGTTGTAAATGGATTAGATATGAATCTAATATACTAATATTCGATCCGATAATTCAATGAATATTTGATTGTTAAATTGATATCCAATTTTCTATGTTATCATATATTCGATCATCCAAAACATATTAGAAAGAGGGATTCTCAATCAAAATACAAAATTTATTATAATATATATTAATATTATATTGAAATTTGATGGGTTTGACATTCTTCATTAAAATTCATAAAGTATAATACAAGTTTCAAAATAATAAAAAAAAATTATGTGTTATAAATTATGGGGTAATATATAAAATATATTATATTATTATAACACATCGGATTGGATTGATCTATATTCTTATTTGCTCCATTTAGTTAACGAATTATCGGATTCAGATATTAAAAGGGTTATTGGACTGAAACCCTAAATTCATCTTTCATTAATTTTATCATATTCGAATTGAATTCGGATCAAAATCAAATTTATTGACAACCTCAGTATTTAGCCCTTATTTGAAAGTGATTTTTTGAGAATCACTTTTCTGTTAGTACTGATTCTCGACTAAACATTTAAAAAAAAAAAAAAAACATTTATTACATTTTTCATATTTTTTTCTACTTTTAACTACACAAACAAGTCTTTTGGCTCATTCGTAGTCGATTGTGATAAGATTTTTAAATTATTATCGTCAATCACTTGTGTTTAATTTACTTATAATTTTTTCTAATAAACCTAATGGATGGTGGCACAACATTGACTAGTGTTCAACTTAATTTCACAAGAGACTATATAAAAGCTTGATATTTTCATGACATCTACTGCAAGAACAAATCTAAGGCAAAATACAGGCATACTGCGTTTCAAAATAACGACTGTCAAGTCCAGCAAATTATCCATTTTGAGAAACAAAACAAGAGTTCCTTATATATAATCCACCTTTTCAACCTCCTCTGGGTTTTACCGAATAAATTTTTCAAAAACCTAATATTAAATAAATTCTCTTTGATTTTAACAGGTTGTTGTGGTATCCCTAAGTGAGGTGAACTTTCAATTTAGCTTCAGGTATGATGGAAAATTTAAATTAATAAAAAAAAATCGCGATTATCCATCTTCAAAGAAAATTGACAGTGACAATGGGAAGTATTCAAAATAGTTGAACCAAATTTGCCTTAATAATTGCACATTATCCATCACAGTTCAAAAATGATTCCAATTGACAAGCACAAATATCAGCGACCTTATCTTCATAGTAAGTAGCACATGTTAGCACGACAAGATTCCTCTTCTTCGACTTCACTAGGGAAATTTTGCCTTTCGAGTCTGAAATTCTCTTATGCCAGCTTCATGTTTTCACCATTGAAACACATTGAAGTAACTGAATAAATTCAGAACTGAATGGAAAATAAACTCGATTGGAGAATGATATCTAATGCCAACACAATAATTTTGTAGGATTTCTAGGCCAATGTCAAAGGGGGATTCTTAGGGTTTTTTCCTTAATTTGGCTCTATTATTTCGCTATTAAAAAGGACAGAAAACTGCTAGCTGGAAAATGCTAATGCTATTATCTCTAGAATTAATTGTCCATCCTTCACCTCAAGAAACCTATAAACTTGGCTAGCTACTAAAATTTGATCTATATCAACCTCTCATATCTAAAGAGATTATTAGCTAGCAAAAGTTGCACCATTATACAAAATTTTCCACCAACATTAATAAATCTTTCCACTCTATCAAACGAAGATGTGGCTGTCTTTGTGCCTCACACGCGCCCACGCAACATGTTGAATCGTTGTCATTCGAAAACTTAAGCTATGGAAAGAATATTTCATATATTTTAATTTAGTGCCAACTTGCTCCTTTACGTCTACATAGGTCGTGTCAATTTTTATCAAAATTCTATTATTAAGTATACAGAATTTTGTTCCCAACGACTATGTTAAAGAATTCATGAAATTAATATGGTCCCTCTTACAACATATATATTCAATTTGCATTATCAAAAGGGACCACCCTCAAATCTATAATTTTCCTGTTGTTTTTAATTATATATGATTTTTTTCAAAGATTTTCCTTCACCATCTATCTTTTATCCCTTCATAACATATTCCCCTTTAGTCCCTCACTCTTTTAGACCTCTATTTATAAC